TTGGTCATCTGTGTTATATAATTATATAATGATCGAAAAGAGAGTCCAAATAAAATACAACGACAACAAAACTTAAGGCAACAAAGATTTTTAAAGAGACAAATCTTTGATCTCCGGATACATAAAAACTAATACAAAAAAATAAGATATTTGATTAAAGAGCAAAGCAAAGAAATAACCCCAAGCTCAAGTCACGAAGCCACTAGCACACCCATACACTAAACCAAGGAGCACGAAGAAGCCAAATCTGAGCCAACAAACATAAGAACATAACAGAACCTAAACCTTGAAGCACACCCAGACACCGGGAGAACCAGAACACGGCTCTAAGACTATCTTAACCAGCAAACAGAAGAGGTGGAAAAGAACGCAGGGAGATAACGGCAGCAGAGCAAGAGCTAATGTCGAGTAGTCTTACCATAGAAACCGGGAAACAGAGGAGAAAGCGACGCCAAGACAAGTATAACCTAACCACCGAGTCTAAACGAGAACACAAAACCAACCTCTGTATCCAACCAAACGCACAGACCACAAACAAACGCCTGAGACCAACAAAAGCACATCTCCTCGCCCAAAAGAACTCTAACTCACGCAAGGATAAAAACCCAGACCGAAGCTAGGACCTAGTCGTTGGGAGAAGGTGAAAGGGCACGGTTGAGCAAACCAGAGGCCTACAGCCGGCATAAGAAGCTCGACCACAACAAAAGAACCCCGATTTAACCCAACCGAGCCAAAGAGAGAACCAAATCTAACAACTACTAAAACAGTAGCTCAATTCTAACCACGCAGAGGTTCCACCGCCTTAACATCTAGTGGCGGCGAGCCGAAGGCCACCAACACAACCCATCAACCAACCCTTAAAACCAGATCTGAGAATATAAACCCATAGAAGGTATAAAGGAAAACTAAACAACTAAGTAGAACTAACCAGGGGTCCGTGATCGTCGCTAATCGGAGCCGCCGGCCACCGGAAAGCAAGATCGAAAAGCTTGGGAACGAGGTATAAAATCGCCTCTTGCGGCCACCGACAGTCGGTGAGAGTTTTCTTTATTTTTGTTTCCCGTGTGTTAAAAAAATGTGTTAAAAAAATGTTTATGTATATTTATTGTTACTTATAAATACTAAAAATTTAAATTAAATAAAAAAAAGAAAATAAGTACATAAATGATTAAAAATAATACATACAAGAATATATAATTTTATGTAAAAACAAAATTACAACAAAAAATATATTTCATATATATTATACTTCATTTGAGAGTAATAAAAACATTATGAATTTATGATTTATATTTATAATAAGGGGTAATAGCAAAAATGCCACTTTTGTTGTGTACATTTGCGAGAATGCCACTTAGGAGTGTCCATTTGCCGGAAAGTATTTTTAATCAAAAGTACGTTTTTGTTCGGATTCGGGAGTATTTTTTTTTTTAAGGATACTTTCATTCGTTTGAAAAATGTCATGATCGCGCAGTCGAATCTTATTTCGGAATAAATCCTATTTTTCAGAAAGTAATATTTTTTAGAATATCTCCAACTCTACTTTATTTCTCATTCTAAAATAAAGTTTTAGAATAAAATCTTCTCCATCGCTATTCCATTTATAGAGTAAAAAAATGGATTTATTCCATTTACCTATTTGTCATTCCATTTTATT